AAGATAAATGCGTGAAATTTTATATTTATTAGTTCACGGATTTTTATGCATTTATGGAAAATTTAAAGATAGGAAAATGTGTAAAATATCTAAACTACAATACCTCTTATAATGTTTAGTAAGTAAACAAATTTTCTACCTATGTTCCATTTACTGTTCTATCTTCATAAAAATTTGCAAAAGTATTCGCAACTTAATTATTACGTTAATTAGAAACCTAGCAAAATATTGTGTGAGGTATAATTGATAATTTAGAAGAATCAACAAATAAAGAACTGGAGATAACGTTACATTGCTTATCAATCATTGTCTCTTTCAATTTAAGAAATAATTGAAAGAAGCTCGATTTTGTTTGCAACTTGAAAACATATTTCAAGTACAACAACAGATTCATATAAACAAAGTATTTCAAATTGCTCGTTGTTGAGTGACGTGACTCATAAAGACTTCACGTCGGAATTTGTAATAATTAAGAGCGGTGAATAGTATCAAGTTCACGTTGGTAAGAAAAAATTCCAAATTAATTGGATTCAGGTAACGTAACTAATCTGAACAAAGCTGGAGTTCTATCGAATGTATGTACAGGTAGGGCAACGAGGAAAGGAAGGAACGGTTGGGAACGTTGATATATTCCGTGAATACTACGCGTAACGGCTATCGAACGAAAATATTTACTCTCGAGATACAGACGACACACAGACTAACTTGGAAAACATTTTTGTCTGAACCATGGAACAAATAAGCCGCCATGCATTGTTAATCGGCGTTGTTGATGCGAAATCTTATCGATCATCTGCGAAACGAGGGCAATTTATGACTCGATAACGTATTGTTTTGCAATCTACCGGACCTGAACTTGCTCTGTTTATGAATCAACAGATGCATAGGAGAACGGATGCAATTACTACGACATGTATTCTTTGCGTAACTAGAACGTACGTCAAACGTGGATGAAACTGAACGAAGAGTATCGTTTGATAACTAAGCACAGTCTGTCTGTCTGTCTAGTAGTCTAATCTTCGAGGGCCATAAATTCTCGTTAACTCTTCCCAGTTCGAACAGCGAGTCCAAAGTGTCGTTCTATAAATACAAAGTCGTTTTTTATTCGCTGAAATCTATTGTCGCGTATTCCGTTTCCATATGAAACTTGTCTATGGCGCCGATATTTTCCCGTGTACGATCACGCGTTAAACGCCATTGCACGTTAAGCGAATCAAATCGTAAAATGTGTGCTACTTACTTCATCACGTAGAAACGAAGCTAGTATAATTCCTTCGCTCGTCCTCGACTTATTCTCGCCCGAGGAAACCCATCAAGCAGCTAAGAACACATCGTACCGTATAAAGGCGCGCGGAATACCGCTATATACATATAGTCGTATACACCTATAGCTTTATTCGCAGCGTGCAAACAGAACGCATCGTCAAACGTATAACGTATCACGTATCAATGAAACGTCGAATTTCCAACTGTCAGTGTCCTATGGAATTTTATACACCACCGTGTTGCAGCTTTTCTGCTTGTGTTTTATCTAATCGCTCTAGCGTTCGATGCCGGTCACTATTTTTTTCTAGTCCAACACTTATTACATAAAACTCTCCTCGCTCTCTATCGTCTTCGACCGATGTCCTTCCATCCAAATTCCATTCAAATTTTTTCCTCGAGAAATTACGATACACACGAAAGAACTCGATCGTCGGGGAGCAACCCTTAAAACGCGTAATTCCATATATAACAACGAAGTTTTTGTCGAAACGCGTCGAACTTGTCACTTGCCCGGTTAACTGATAGAAAGAACAAGACTCGATATATCGATCAGACCAACAACACCTTACACGCACACTTACCGCGCGGCTGTTGGCGCAACACTGAACAACTGCGTATCGGTCACATAGTAATAACTAACAACGCTACGGCATCTGGGAGCGCGCGATGTCTCGCGCAGTCGCGTGATCGTCTACACGACAAATCGGCCGCCTGTTTACCGCCAGAATTAGACAAAACAAAGTAGCTGCACCGATTAAAAGTCTGATTGGCTTAACAGGGGTTCAACTCCGCGGAGACGCGCCGCCCTTGCTCGATATCTTCTCATTCTCGTCAACTTTATTCCCGAAGAACCACGATGGTGACACGTGACTTTCGAAAATATTATTAACAATGGTATTGAGTTTTATACGAACTGTAATTTCTCTGAAATTTATATTTCAATCAATACCATTGATTTTGTCTTGTTTTCTTGTTAACGATTGACTATATTAAAAGAAGAAGACATTTGGTTTTTAATCGCGTATATGTATCGAGTATTAAATAGATCTATAACGCAAATATCAAAAGCTCGTTATTGGTAACAGCCGATTATCGATAACAATCGATAATCAAGATATTCGTATCGTTCTTTGCGTAAGCTTAAATTTGGAAAATTTGCCATGAATTTAATGAAAGTCTAAATTTAGTATTTGGCGTTATTCTACATAGGAAATGTTCTAACACTAATATTAAATCAACTGTTTTAAAAAGGAACTGTATTTAAATTCTAGAAACGATAATTCTTATAAATGCAGAATAATGAAGCTCATTGGGAAAGTCCGTTGTTGAATCATATGGAAATTACTTTGATTGCATATACAATATGACGATTTAAGGAAACTATTTTCGGCTATATTTTTATTTAAAGAAATGACATTTCATGTACAATCTAATGCGTCAGAAAAATTAAATTGTCATCTTACTAGGGAGCAATTGGCAAAGAGCATCGAACAGTTATCAATGAGTAAAAATGTTTGCTTTGCCTCGTACAATATTTCTCGTTCTGATCGAAGAAAGTAAATGATAAATGAAGAGAAAGTCTTTTTTTGTACTTCTCCTTCGTCCTTCTCCAACGTGTGAAATGAAATGGTACATTTGAAAGTCGTCGCAGATTGTTGACGCAGCTTTTGTTGTTCGGTCTGAGTGAAAGGGTAGAGACAGCGTTGCTCCGATTGAAAATATATGAGATAAATTAATTCTTCGTTTTTACGATACGTATCTGTTTCACCATTAAAAAGATAAAAAAGTGTCTAATACGAGTAAGTATTTAATAATTTGTTGGAAAGTATAATATCGTATTAAATCTTCCTATACAGGTCCATAATTTATCTCTTTGCTAGAAATCCTGTGCGCCTCGTAATACAACAAATATTTAAGATATCGATCTTAAAAAAATAAGGATTAACGACTTATTATGACTATTAAACTAAGTTGTTTATGAACAATTTTCTGTTAAGACCATTAAATTTGAATTTTTCAACATGATTAATATGTTTTAGTACGAAAGCATGTGTTTTTTGTTATTATATCTCGTAATGAGCGCTAAAATTACTTTAAAATAACCTTCAGTATAAAAAAGCGTACGACTATACCGTAATTCCATAGTTTCAAGCTTCCGTTACTATGTATCAAACATTTGTTACATCGTTAAAAACAAAGAAAACTTCTAGATATTTGAATCGTGACGAGACCATATATCGTGGTGTGCATATTACAAAAGAAAAATCTCTAATCTTACGATAAGAAGTAATACAAATATCCATCGTTGGTAGATTTAATATTATTTTACGTATCGAATTATGTATCGAAATAAACGCGTGAATTCATATAACTAAATATTCAAACTCCTCTGTGGAATAACAATATCAATGAAATTGTCATCGTTCGAACATTTCACGATATGAATATCATACGTGATAGTATTTAGTTGAAAGTATCTCTTACTACCTCCGCGTATTATCTCTTGCCGCAACATTAACCTTGAAGAGAATAGATTGACTCGACTCCACCCCATAATGTATCTAATGAAACTGGCATTTCTACTTCGAGTGATCGCGCTTGACACTCGTGCCTTATTTTTCTAATGATCAAAATTGTTGGTTCATTACCATGAACCTCAACCACGTAAACAAGATATTTCACCATATGTGCAAAGTAAAAAACAACTAAACACATACGTAGCTTACATGTAATTTATTTCCATGACAAGCTACGAAAGATAAAAGAAAAACGGTCGCAATTTCCTCAAGCAATATGATCGTTTATCGTAAACTACTTACTGTTGTTAATTCTATTGCTGCGATAATAAACGAGTTTAAAGTCGATAAATTACGTCGTAACGAAAGACCAACAAGGTTTGTATTCGCGATCCTGTTTATCTATAGAACAATATCAATCATCGCCGTTAAACAGTTCATTGTCAACAGCGCGTCGACGAAGATAAATCCAGAAACATTTAAATTGAGTGCGGTATTTATCCCTTAAGCTGGTGGTATCGTTGGTGTTTTAATACATAAGCCTAGAACATTTTTATCGTCTCCACGGTGATTACGCACCGCGTTTCCATTCTTCAGACTCATTGAGATCGAGTTTGGAAATAAATAACGACACTTCTATCACGATAGGGTTATCTATCTATCATATATCCACCTTAAAATTGAAATTATGTCATTTGAAGAGTACATAAAGGAAGGACTTGAAGAACGTGTAAAACGAAATTTCTTATTTTTTAAATTAGGTATTACTGAATGAGAAATCTGATCACAAAAAATTAAAAGAAAATAGTATAGGATTTTTTATTTATTCAGAAATATTAGAAATTGGGGTTCCCAATGATTTCTATCCTATATGATAAGTTAATCGATCGATAGATCTATTTACAATGGATTAAACAGGAAACGATGGTTATTTAACGTGAACTAAATACAGTAATGTGCTATAACTAAGACAACTAAATAGTTAATTCACAACTCACAACTAATAGTTTACAACTCATAGCAACTTGGCAACTCAACTCTCGACTCATCACAAATCGACTCCCAACTCATAACTTGTCTCCTCACAACTCAACTCTTCAGGTAACGACCCCCCGGTAACGATCACGTAGGCCATGTTCCGGCGTAACTATTTGACTGAAGGATCGATAGCACAATAAGGCCCATTGAAGTTTCACCCGATATTTCTTAGGCCATTTGTCCACGATAGTACAATAGTATTTTAAAAATATATTTGTACTTATTTGATAATTATCGCAACTAAATTATAAAATTTCACATAAATTTAGATATGTAACTATATTACATAATTGTGTTACACTAAACCAGAGGAAATATATTTTCAAAATTTGTTAAATGTTAACTGTGGTAACTGGCCAACATGGAAAGTCTCTAAAATATTAAGCTATCGAATCACTTTTATAAAAATTTTAATCAAATCTCTAGACATTGAAATTTCAATGTTACCATATGACGGTACCATTCAGTAATAAGAGTAGAATACCCTATTATCATAAATTAAAAGAAAGCGTTGCAAGATTATTTCGCGATATTGTAATTACTGAGCTCGCTTAAATCCTGTCATTTAGTGATCACACTTATACACACGCTTTACCATTTATAAATAACCAAGCAAATGCAGAATCATTACAGGTGTCCGCGCATGGAAACAACGTATGGTCTCACAGAAGACAGCCAAAGAATCAATAAAGAACACATGCGCCTACAGAATCACGTCACTTCAAAGATCTAACTTTCATTACATACGAAAAGTGCACACAACGTAATTTAATAAAAATTGAAACAGGATCAAGATGTACATTATGATACCTCCGACGATCTACAAAAATGCACATTATTGTCAGAGAATTAACAATATCTTAACAATATCAAATTAACTCTTTCGAGAACGAGTTGACACGTCCAAGATAGAATTTCTTTGGGTTTCCGCAGAAAGATTGTCTTCTACCACCAATTATCTTGTATCTAATTATTTTTTATCACTCGTTATTACTGACAGAAATTTCTAGTAATAATAATAATATACATTTTCTGATGGTTTTATAAAAAGGACAAAATGTACTAAGATCAGAACCAGTTTCACCCAAAGCAAATGTTTTAACGGATAATGGATAAAGTAACTGCAGCACCGAACGCGAAAGAGTTAATAAATCAACCGACTGTAGAAACTTCATGAATAGTGTTCGTATTACCTTTGCGAAAAATGACGAATTCATATCGAATGTCTTTGCTGTGAATATGTTTGTCGTGTGCATTATTTGCAGAGAAAAAAGCTCCACCTGCAATTTCATAATTAATGTAATATTGGAACGTATTTCGTATTCATACATACATATTTTTTTCCAAAGATCACGTAACGATTTTATTCGAACCATGACTACAATAATTAGACTGTGAATTTATACCTTTTTAAATACAATTAATGAGGTAGGATGACCATATTCTATTAATTATATTTTGATAAGTTTATATATTTCTGTACATTACACATCTGCATTCTGAACATCTTTGCGCCTTTGAATTTTCGCAGTTTAATAATAATAGTATTACTATAGTTAAATTGTTACCTCGCGTTTCACGAATGGATCGTTAGTAGCACTGAAAACATCCCAAAGTGTCGTCTTCATTTTTCTCGCTCGATTCGTCGCTGTTTCACATGCCCAAATCATCACCCAAAACTTGATAAAATAGAAAGCAGCTGGCGTGACATACGGTTTGTACCAGAAATTGCTGCTCGCAGGAAATTTACTATATAAAGAAATTATATAGAAATATATATTAAAAGTGACCACGCTGAAGGTCGTAATAGCTGCGACTGTAATATGTATCATAAACGTATTGTTCAGCAATTCCAATCCATCGCTGATTTCCAAATGTTTCTCCTTCAAATTCTTCAGTTCCACCACCAACAATGGACTTAGCTGTCTATGATGCACAAACGTCTGCATCCATATATCATTATTCATTGGAAGCTTCTTCAGCTGTCGTATAGATTCATCCATTTTCTTAAAGCAATCTTTCAAAATGCATGTGCAATTTATGTAGAGCATGTCTATTGAAAGATTGGCCATCATTATGTACATGCCAATAAAATTCAGCAAAGTCAGGAAAATACTGTGTTTAAAACAGTTTGGTATATGGATGCCGAGAAATAGAAGACATAATATGTCCTTCGTGTGAATCATTTTAGACAAATCTTTGAAATCCTTTGTAGACAGTATGCAACTAGTTCTTGACAGATTTTGAATCACTAATAATCGAGCATCAGTTAACAAATACATCACCACGAACACGAATCCATCTAAGAACAAGTACATGTTCACATGAATCGACTCTGGTATACTCTTGTTTGTTTTCATGCCAATATTTATTTCATAGATTGTGATCATTAACGAACATACGAAAATGAACATCATAGACGTAGAAAAAGCGAAACGGCTCTTCGAAAGTGAGTATACTTGATGTTCGTACTTATAAGGAAAATATCCGAGTAGCCAGAAGATGAAAAAACAAGGATACATCAACGAATCGAAATCTGTTGCTCTCAATAACTTCCATGTTCTACGTTTCTTTAGTTCCTCGATTATACCCGTAATTTTTAACAGCATTAACAAATTCGAAATTAATAAAAGAACTTGGTCATGAATGTACGTAGACTACAATTTCCCACAAACGACTATCGTTTTTAAGACAGAAACACTTTGGCTAATGAAACTCACACATCAAAGCATGTAAAAATGCAGTTCGATAATGAAATGTGTGTGTAAATAAATAATGTGGATTGCTATTTCATCGTGCAATAAAAATGCTTTTAACTTGATTAAATATGTGACTTCATTGCGAAAGAAATAAGACAGAAGTTTTACTAATTGAAGCTTCTCATCAACAAGACTCGACGAGTAAGAACTGCACTAATATTAACAAAAAGGTGGTAATGCCGCACGCCATCTGTAACAAGTGTTGATAAAAATACTTCATTCCTTTTGTTCCAATCTCTTATTACCTTTGTCAAAAGGGTTGCATCTATTACGAGTCCATTCATCACGAACACGTTACCCTTTTGTAGCACTTGCAACGAGAACAACTCCAACTAGAATCACGTACATTGATTACAATTTCAATATATTTCTTCTATATTTCCAACATAAATCATCGATAGTAAAATAATCGTCTCATCTTACCTCCGTCGTCACCTGCTCGTCGAAAGTATGTACAAGAATTCGATGAATGTTGCGGCCAGTTTTCTGCATTTGAACCCTGGTAATTTCAACGATCGAAACTGTGATAATTACATGTGCGATGTAATAAATCGCGAGGCCAAGAATAACAGTCAGCAATTTCACCTCGTTCATTTCTTTTTGCATGGATAAATAATTGTACATAGTGAATATAATGAAGATGAACATTATTATTAATATGGCTTCGATCTGTATGCTACACGTGTTATTCAGTAGCTCAACGACTTCGCTCATCTCTAGATGTTGCTTTTTAAGAGTTCTCAACTTCGTCAACAATATAGGATTCTTCTGCATATGATAGACTCTTCTGAGTAGATGAGGCTCATCATTGACTAGAATTTCCTTCACTTGCACTAAAGAATCGTTTATGTATTTAAAACAGGCATTTAGCACGTATACGTTGTTCGTGTACAAGCTAGTTAATGCTATAGTACCGATGAAAGTATACCAAAAAGTGTAACAAAAAATATAAGGTACGTAGAATAAGTTGTATGGAATGCTGCACATTAGTGGTAACAGAATTAAGATATCTTTTATAAGAATCTTTTTAACCACTTTATGGCAAGTTTCTGAAGACAGTATACGAGAAACGTTCGAGATGCCATTGATCGCTCGGATCATTGATCGATTTTTGGTATAAGCCGAGATGAAAATCACAGGCCCACAAAGAAATATCAGAGCAAATTGCAATTTATGTACAAGTTCTATAAATTTCATAGAAGAAAAGTTGGTTTGGTACAGAGAAAGAACTACGAAGATCAAGTAAATAATGATGGAAATTGTAGAGAAAACAAAGTATGATTTCGAATATACAAATTTCGATGATTCGAGTTTGTATGGTAAAAATCCCATTAAACGGTTGAAGGCGGCACTGGGACTTATTAAAGATGTGTAACTCCCGAAATATGACGACGATGATTTAAGTTTTTGATTTGTTCTTTGTTCAAGTTTCTGCGGTAGATTAAACATTTTAAACACCTGAATTAGGACAACGTAATTTTTAGTAATTTTTACGTACGATTTAGTCCTCATGAAATAAATGAAACTTTACTTTTTGTACGAAGGCTAAGTTCACCTTTGAGACTGTGCTTTGTACTGTCACACGAAGAAGCACATCCCTCACTGTAAGAAGTCTGTATGCTATGGTTTGTCGAACAGTAATGAAATTTAATCATTTCTACGCGAATCTAATTCGAGCATCTAAAACAAAAGAATAGTGCAATCCATTAACGAAAAGGGTTTCATAATATTAAAGACTTACAGGCAATATAGTAGTAACAACATTATCTTAATTGAAACTGATCGATACGATCAGGTGATATTAATTCATCATGTACTATTTAATGATTTTACCTCTTACTTCGTGTTTTATTGAAAATACTTGACCGAAATTAACAATATCTTCAAACAGAAATTTTATTAGAATATTTAGCAGCAAATAAATTATTTTGGTCATTGTCTAATTTCTATAGTTGTTGCATAACTTAGATGATGATAATTAGTACTGACTCATAATAACATATTGAGTCAAATTGTGTCACAATAACATATATATCATTTTCGAAAGATACGACGAAAGTGGGAACATTCGCGTCAGAGTTATACACTATAATATGTTTCTCACTTCATTCAACGTATTGCTTGACGTCATTGCCGTATGCGTCGATTATTTTATCAGTTTCCTGTACTCAGTGTTGCTCCTAGATATAGTGCTCTATCTTATCTCTATCATAGTTTGCCTTTCAGAACGCTAGTAAAGAATCAATAAAGAACACATGTGTCCCACAGAATCACGTCACTTAAAGGATCTCGCTCTCAGTGAGAATGAAGAATGCATACAACGTAGTATAATAAAAATTGAAACAGAGTCAACATGAATATTGTGATACCTTCTATGACTTACAAAAATACACATTAGAGTCACAATAGTGCTAAATTAACACTTTCAGGGACAAGTTAACTCTTTCCCGATTGAATTTTCTTGGGAATAGGGAAAAAAATTCTTTTTCTCAGTTATTACTAACAGAAATACTTATTTTCTGATGGGTTTATAAAAGAAACAAAATGTACTAACATCAGAACCAATTTACCCAAAGCAATTGCTGTTTTCATAGGTAATGCTTAAAGTAAACGCAGTATCGAACGCGAAAAAGTTAATAAATTAACAGATTATAGAAATTTCATGAAATGATTTCCATCTTACCTTTGTCAAAAATTATGAATTCATGTCGAATGTTTGCGCTGAAAATATGATTGTTCTGTGCACGAATTGCAGAGAAAAAAGCCTCGCCAGCAATTTCATGGTTAATGTAACAATAAGAAAATATTTAACACGTATTTTTCTTTTAATAACTTGTAACGATTCTTTAACGATTCAATTGCAATGGATTTTAATGACTGCAATAATTAGATTATAAATTCATACTTTTAAAAATACAATTAATTATATTAATTATATTTTGATAAGTTTATATATTTCTGTACATTACACATCTACATTCTGAACATCTTTGCGCCTTTAAATTTTCGCGGTTTAATAATAATAGTATTACTATAATTAAATTGTTACCTCGCGTTTCACGAATGGATCGTTTGTAGCACTGGCGACATCCTAAAGCGTCGTCTTCATTTTCTTCGCTCGATTCACACGCCCAAATCATCATCCCAAACTTGATAGAGTAGAAAGCGGCTGGCGTAACATAGTCTTTGTACCAGATCTTGATATTCACAGGAAATTCGTTCTATGAATGTATTATATAGAAATATATAACGAAAGTGACCACGGTGAACGTTGTGATAGCTGTGACTCTCACAAACGTATGGTTCAACAATTCCATCCCATCACTGATTTCCAAATGTTTTTCCTCTAAATTCTTCAGTTTCATCACCAACAATGGACTTAGCTGTCTATGACGCATATACGTGTGCATCTGTATATCATCATTCAGTGAAAGCTGTTTCAGTTATTGTATACATTCGTCGATTTTATTAAAGCAAGCTTTCAAAATGCACATGCAGTAGTGTAGAACGTGTCCATCGATGAGTTGACCATCAATATGTACATGTTGATAAGATTCCGCAGAATCAGGAAAATAATGTGTTTAAAACAGTCTGGTATATGGATGGCGAAAAATAAGAAACATAAAATGTCTTAAGCCTGAATCGCTTTAGATGAATCTCTGAAATCCTTTGTCGAAAATATCGAGCTGGTCTTTGACCGATATTCGATCAACGATATTCGAGCGCTAATTAACAAATACATCATCAAGATTACGACCCCATCTAAGAACATGTACATGTTCCCGTGAATCGAGTCTAGTACGCTATAGTTTATTCTCGTGCCAATGTTTATTTCGTAGATTGTGAATAATAACGAGAATACGAAAATGAACATCGTAGACGTAGAAAAAGCGGAACAGCCCTTCAAAAGGGGGTATCCTGAAGGTTCGAACATGTAAAAAAGATATCCGAGCAGTCAACAAATGCAAAAACAAGGGTACACAAACAATTCAAAGTCTGTTGCTCTTAATAACGTCCATGTTCTACGTTTCTCCAATTCTTTAACTTCTGCCATATTTTTTGACATCATTAAATGGTAGTCTCGAAGAAATTCGATGTCAGTGAAAGAATTTAGGAATGAATGTAGATCGAATATTGTCCTTCATAAACGACTATTGCTTTGTAAGAAGGAGAAATTTTGTAGATTTTGTAAATTATTCATCACAACACAAAAAAATGCAATTCGATAATGAAACATGTAAATAAATAATACGGAGCTTCATCGCGATTAAACATGCCACTTTATTACGAAAAAAAAATTGATCCATTATAAACAAATTTCCCCAATTTTTCTAAGCAAATTATTTCTTAGATACATTTTCTCCATTAATACAGAAGTTTCACTAATTGAAACTTCTCATCAACAAGATTCAACGAATAAGAATTGTATTAATACAGAACTGCACTAATATTAACAAAAATGTAGTAATGCCGCACGCCATCTGTAACAAGTGTCGATAAAAACATTTCATCTCTTTTGATCCAATTTCCTACTACCTTTGTCAAAAGGGTTGCGTCTATTATGAGTGCCTTCATCACGAACACGTTACCCTTTTGTAGCACTTGCAACGAGAACAACTCCAACTAGAATCACGTACATTGATTACAATTTCAATATATTTCTTCTATATTTCCAACATAAATCATCGATAGTAAAATAATCGTCTCATCTTACCTCCGTCGTCACCTGCTCGTCGAAAGTATGTGCAAGAATTCGATGAACGCTGGAGCCAATTTTCGTCATTTGGCTTCTGGTAGTTTCAACTATCGAAACTGTTATAATTACGTGTACGGTGTAATAAATCGCGTAGCCCAGAATAAGAGCCAGCGATTTCAGCTCGCCCACTTCTTTGTGCATGGATAAATAATTGTACATATTGAATGTAATGTCGATGAACATTATTGTTAACATGGCTTCGATTTGCATGCTACACGTGTTATTCAGTAGCTCAACGACTTCGCTCATCTCTAGATGTTGCTTTTTAAGAGTTCTCAACTTCGTCAACAATATAGGATTCTTCTGCATATGATAGACTCTTCTGAGTAGATGAGGCTCATCATTGACTAGAATTTCCTTCACTTGCACTAAAGAATCGTTTATGTATTTAAAACAGGCATTTAGCACGTATACGTTATTCGTGTACAAGCTAATCAGTGCGATGACACCGAAAAAAGTATACCAACAGGTATAACCAAAAATAAAATTTGTGTACAAGATGATGACTGGAATGTAACACATTTGTGGTATCAGGATTAAGATATCTTTTATAACAATTCTTGTAGCCATTTTATGCCAAGTTTCTGATGACAATATACGAGAAACGTTCGAGATGCCATCGATCGCTCCGATCATTGATTGATTTTTGGCATAAGCCGAGATGAAAATCACAGGCCCGCAAAGAAATATGAAAGAAATATGTAACGTATTTGCAAGTGTTGGAAGATGCATAGAAGAAAAGTTGACTTGGAGCAGAGAAAGAATTACGCAGATCGAATAAATAATTATGGAAATTGTAGAGAAAACGAAGTATGATTTCGAATATACAAGTTTCGATGATTCGAGCTTGTATGGTAAAAATCCCATTAAACGATTGATGGAAGCACTGGGAATTATTAAAGACGTGTAACTCCTGAAGCATGATGAGGATGATTTAAGTTTTTTATTTGTCCTTAGTTCAGGTTTCTGCGGTCGACTAAACATTTTAAAGATCTGAATTAAAACAATGCAATTTTTAGTAATTTTTTACGTACGATTTAGTATCCTCATGAAATAAATGAAACTTTATTTTTTGTACGAAGGCAAAGTTCACCTTTGATACTGTGCTTTGTACTGTCACACGAAGAACCTCTCTCACTGTAAGAAGTCTGTATGCTATGGTTTGTCGAACAGTAATGAAATTTAATCATTTTTACTCGAATCTAATCCGAGCATCTAAAGCAAGAGAATAGTGCAACTCATTAACCAAAGGTGTTTCGTAATATTAAAGACTTACAGGGAATATAGAAGTAACAGCATTATCTTGATTGAAATTAATCGATGAAACCAGGTGAATCTACAATAATTTATAATGCACTATCTATCTCAGTGCTCACTTCGTGGATTTCTCAGCTGTGAGCCATTATAACAAATATATTATTTAAAATAACAGTATTTTGAAACAGAAGTTTGGTCAGAGTATTCGGAACTGTTATTTTGGTAAGTGTCTGATTTTTATATTCGTTGTGCAACTCAGATGATGATACATAATTAGTATCGACGAGAAAGTGAGTCGTAATAATATATGCATGCATCGTTTATCAAAAACACGAAGGTAGTCGAAAGGAGCGCGTTGATGTTACACATTATCGTCAATTTTTCTACTTAGAACGTATCCTTTGACGTCACTGCTCTATGCGGCGATTATGTTATCAACTTCCAGTACTTAATATTCTTTCGCCTGTTTTCCCTCCATCATAGTTTACCGATCAAAAAGCTGCCAAAGAATTAATAAAGAACACCTACAGAATCACGTCACTTCAAAGATCTCGCTTTCATTACATATGAAGACTGCACA